CCCCGGCCCCCACTCACCCCGCACCAGCCGCTGCCCCTGCACCATCAGTGAGCGGTATTCCCCCCACTTCTCGTAAAGTGTTTGCTGCAGGGAAGCGGAGGGGGATGAAGACCCCATGGGGGGTCCCCAGCTCCCCAATGACCCCCCCCAGCTCCACACTGACCCCCTCTATCTCTCTTCCCCCCTCACCTTCAGGTACTGCAGCCGGGCCTCCAGTTCAGCCCTCCGGATGGACGTCCCGTAGAGCGTGTCAAGGCTGGGGAGCAGCAGTTGTCAGTGCGGGGGACTGGGGGCCACCCCACGACCCCCCCACCCACCCCCCACCTCAAGCTCACCGGAGCATGTTGCCTGAACTCTTGATGATCTCCACGATCTCGCGGTGCCGGACGCCCTCCACGTTGAGCCCGTTCACCCCTGTGATCGTGTCCCCTAGAGCCGGGGGGGGACGGGCTCAGGGATGCCGGTCCCCACTGCTGGGGTCCCCCCGGCCCCCCCGGGGATGCGCTCACCGGCCTTGAGTCCTGCCGCCTCGGCCGGGCTCCCGCTGTGCACCCGGCACACGAAGGTGAACATCTCCACGCTTTTCCTGTCCTGGTGGTGCAGCCCGTAGGTCTGAAACGGGGGGGCTGGTGAGGGCACAGGGACCCCCCCAACCCCGGGGTGTCCCCCGAACCCCCCACAGAACAGCCATGAGGCAGCAATTACGGCATTTAATTGCTGCCAGGCAATGCGGGGCAGCATCCTGGTCCTAGGGGGGTGTTTCACCCCTGATGGCTGCACCCTAAGCAGGGGCCCCCCTGGCCGCCCCCGCCGTCACGGCCAGGGGAAGCTTCAGTAACCAGGCAGCTCCGTCACCGCTAAAAATAAACCCTGGCTCAGAGACAATTTAAAAATACCCTCGATGCAAAGCAAGGTGCAGGCTGGAAGGGTGGGGAGCGCAGCATGGCATGGCATGGCATGGCACGGCATGGCATAGCATGGCACGGCATGGCATAGCACAGCTCGGCATGGCACCCACCTGGATTTCAAAGCCAAAGGTCTCTTCTGCCTTCTTCTCCAGTGTCACCACCTTCCTGGGGGACATGGGGATCAGGGATGAGGCAGAGGCCCTGGCACCCCCCAAACAGACTCGCCCGCCGAGACCTTGGCACTTCTCTAATGGAATACTACTTCGGGGTTTGGGTTTTCTCTGTGCTGGGCAGGATCCCAAGGACAGGACCCCCCTTCCCAGCATGGGAGCCCCCCAGGTTGGCCTTGAGCCCTGCAGCCTGTCCCATGGGTGCTGGGCAGGGTCCCCGTGGGGTTTGGGGGTGTCAGGCCCCCGAGGGAGCTGTGACCCCATCACTGCTCTCACCTGCCCCAGGTTTCCCCATAAAATCACCCCCATTTCCAGGCCCCGTGGGGTGTCCAGAACAGACCCCAGCCCCACTCCTGCGTGTCCCCCCCATCAGCAGGGCCCAGACCCCTGTCCCTACCTGTGCTCCTCCGGGGACTGGCTTGGGGACGCCCACCTGAACCCTGCGCCCTGCGGCAGAGGGAGAGCCATCAGCGGGGGACACCGTCCTGGGGCACGTCCCCCCACCACCCCATCCAGGGACAGCCGAAATGGGGTGTCCCATCAGGACAGCACCAAACCCCCAGGGAGCATCGTGCCAAGCCGGCACCGAATCAGCACCCGGGTGCCCCCCCCGCCTTGCAGGCCCCCCCCCCCGGCCGGCTGGGCATAACAAGGCTTTTATCGGTGCTCAAAGCCACCCTCACATCTGCTCCACGCTCACCCCGCGCTTTGACGTCAGTCTGTGCCGCACCCCACCCCACGCCACGCTCCAGGGGGGGCCCCGGGCACAGAGGGGCCCTGTTGTGGTCACAAAGTCGGTTTTTTTCATGCAAAATTCCCCCCCCTCCCCGGCGCAGACAATGTCTCTGTTGTGGAGGGCACAGAGGCGTGGGCGGGTGGAGGGACCGGCTGGGCACTGCAGGACCCTCGCCGCGGGGCAGGAGGTGACAGGGCTGTCCCCAAATGCCCCTCCGTGGCCGCTGGGTTCCGGCAGCCCCGGCACGGTGCGGCTGGCGTCACCGTGAGGTCTGCCTTGAAAGTGGCATGTGGCCCGTCTTGGTGGTGGCTGGATGCCACCAGCTCCCTCTGCTCTGTGCCACGCGGGTGTCACCAGCCCGGTGGCTGGCCGTCCTGAATGCATCCATGGGCATTTAAGTACAAACCCACCAGAATTGGGTGCGTTCGCCATAGGGAAAGTTGCCGCCTGTCATGTCGGGCCCCCACGTCACCCCAGTGACAGGGAGGTGACGCGGGACACCCCAGCCCCCTCGGGGACGTCTCCGGTGGTGGCCTTGGCCGGTGAGTGGGAGCCAGGCCACCGCACGTGACCCGGCCTGCGCCAGCACGACTGCGAGAGCCACTTCTGCTCCGGATGTCAGCTCCGCTCTCGCTTCCCCCCGACGCTCAGGAAGCGCCGCGGGGCCGGGGGGAGCGTCGGGGTGGTGACAGCCCCGGCGCTGCCGGAGAGGGGCTTTCCCAGGGGGTGCAGTGGCAAATGGTCCTGCGTCCCACCAAGCCAGGCCCTGGGGGTACCTTGTGCCCCGTTCCCGTGCCCTCCCTGCGGGGCAGAGCTCGGGGACCACGGGGACATGACTGTCGCGGTGACATGGCCACGTACACTCTGTCCCTGTGCCCTAAAGGTTGCAGGGCAGGACGTGAGGAGGAACTGAGACAGCATGTGGGGCTTGAGGGGGAAGCTGGGGTGGGGGCACAGGGAAGATACTGGGGCAGGACATGGGGAGGAACTGGGACAGGATGTGACGCTTAGGGGGACAACACTGGAGTGGGATGGGAACACTGGGAAGATGCTGGGGCAGGACAAGAGGCTGGGGGGGAGTCACCGGGGCAGGACCTGGACACCAGGGCAGGATGGAGACACGGGGAGGGACACGGGGACGACACCGGCACAGGACAAGAGCCCAGGAGAAGACGCAGAGGCAGCCCTACAGGGTGCAGGCACCAGTGGCCGCACAGGACAGGGACACTCCGCACCCCCGGTCCCCTCCACTCCTCCCCAGCCCATTGCCGGTCCCTACCGACCCCGGTGCACCAAACCGGGGGACACCAGTAAATCTCCCCCCCCCCCACACCCTCCCCGCGCCCGGGGCTGCCGGCAGCCCTACCTTTCGCACCCGGGGCAGGGTACCACCGGCGACAGCCAATGCCCGGTAAACCTCGGCGGGACCGGGACGCTCCGGGGCTGCCGCTGCCGCCGCCGCATCCTCCTCCTTCGGCCGGAGCCGCCGCAGCCGCCGCAGGGTCATGGCCGGGCCGCGCCGCTCTGCGCGCCGCTATATCTGCCCTCGGGGGAGGCGGGGCCAGCGCTAGACACGCCCCCTATTTGGGAGGACACACCCCTTTCTATGCATAACCACGCCCCGTTATGCTCTAAACTCCGCCCCCGTTAGGGTAAGCCCCGCCCCGCATCGCCCCAGCCCGGTCTCAGGTCTTGTGGGTAGGGACCCCCGTGGGGTCCAGCGTGGGGAGCTGGGGATGATGGTGCTGTGGGGCAGTGGGGACCATGGGGAGGCCGGGGGCTTGGGGGGTGCAGGGTGGGATGCTGCGGGGGATGGTTGGGGTCGCACCACGGGGCACCAAGGAGGGGCTGCAGGAGCCCAGGGATCATTTTGGGGACAATAATGGGAGAAATCAGACAGTTTTGCCCGGCGCAGAAGCGATGCCGGGCTTTGCCGCTCCTCCGAGCCGTACCAGAGCCTGACTCTAGCCAAGCATCCGCAGCTGTTTCACCCCATAGGACACCACCTCATCCCCAAAGCCGTCTTTAGGATTTAATTCAAGGCAGAAGCTGGAAGCAAGGGACAGCCGGAGCCCTGGGCCGTGCTTCCAACACGGGCAGACAGGAGGATTTAAACCGTTCCTGCAAAAGCTTTGCCCGTGCTGAGGACGGGGACACGGAGGAAAGAACAATTCCCGGAGGCAGACGCGGTGTCTGCTGCGGACATGTCGTGCAGCTCCAGGCAGCCCCTTGCTGCACTGCACCGGGAGGTAGCAGGAATTTTCCAGCTGGAATTGAGGGGTTTGCCCAGATGTTTATTTAAAATTTGCCAAAAAAAATTAGTTTGTAACAATCCCGCTGGCGTTCCACCCAAGCCTCCCGCCCACAGGCTGTCCAGGGGTTACCAGGAGGCAAGCATGCTCCCAGAGCTGAGCTGCTCCAGCTTGGCAGAGCTTGGGAAAGGACAGGATTGAGCCCACCACCCACCCCGGGGGCACCAAACCACAACCCTTTACCAGGGAGCAAAGAAGAACATCCTATCCTGTTCCCAAAATCTGGCAGCCCTGTTAATGACTTGGCCCCTTGGCCAAAACCATCCCAGACCTCTTTTCCCATCACATTTCCTAGAAGAGGAGGAGTAAAGACAATTTTTGCTTTTAAAAAAAGCATACTCTCACCTCACCTGCTGCCTCGATTTCCAGGAGGAAGTTAGAGTTTCCTGGGGGCCGTGGCAGGAGCTGCAGACAAAGCTGGAAACCAAGGAGGGACGAGCCCAGATGGCAGCTCCCCCTTCCCCACCAACGCCATTAGTCTGAGCCCACGGGGGACACCAGGCCCCCGACGGATTTTCCCCTTGATCCGCTCACAACATGCTCATTCACGGGAGGCTCTAATTAGGGAGAATTAGTGGGGGTAGTTTGCACAGCATTGCTTGCCCTCCAAGCAAACAGGATTTTATAGGGATGCTGGGCAGTTTGGACTAAGATTTATCCTTCTTTGAAGCTGCAGCTCCATGTACAGAAACCCAGGGGGATGCTTCGGGGACCTGCCTGCCGTACCCCCTCCTGCTTCCAATTACTGTCCCCTCAGAGAGGGAGGCCCGATTTCAGCTGCTCGTCCCTGTGTGGGTTGGAAATCCTGCTCTGCCACATCCTCACCTCACCTCTGCTACCATCAAGACATCCCCTGAGCGCACAGTGGACGATTTGGGGAGCAGGATTCCCAGGGAGATTTTTTTTAGCTGCGGATGAACAACCCCCTCCCCGATGCTTCTCTGGGGACTGGGGGACTGTAAGCTCTGCCAGTCTTTGTCACTCAGTTCCTACCCCTCTATGCCATGGCTAACCCTTTGCAGCAAACCGCGAGAGACTCCAACACCTCACGTGAATAAAACAAACTTTTAATAATGTACAGCAGAAATCGACAGCCTTGTTTTATATTAAACAAAAGATTTCCTATATTACATTGTATTTACATTTGCATACTGAAGAGGTAAAGTGTCTAAGTGGCTATTTTACAGTCCATTTCTAATAAAATATACAAAACCAAACAAATAAAAGGGGCAGATAAGTACCAAGAGATCTGTTCTGAAGCCAGCGTACCACTGATTAACCCTGCACCACAGATGAGAAGCACAAGCTCCGTACCTCTGCCTCTCCCCAACACCATTTGCCCTCGAGTATCTGACATCTCCCCTCCTTGTTTTGAACTGCTGCGGCGTCGGTCTCTTGTCCTGAACTGTCTGTAGTGTTGCATTTTTTTCCACAGCTGCTGCAGCCCCCTCTGAGCTGGGCAGCAATTCCTATGTTTGCTACCAGTCAGCTAAGTAAGCACTGCACCTCCCTGGCACATGTTTGCATGAAAAGTGCTGTATAAATGCTACATAGTCAGCGTTCCCATCTCGGATCCTCCTCCTCGGTTTTGACCATCTCATGATGGCATCTCTCTACAAACAAGGCTTCTTCTGCAATCCTGCTTATAGGGGATACCCTGTCGCCCTGCCCTCACCCCTTCTAACCTTATCTGGTCTGACACTGCTCCGCTGTCTGCTGTTTGGTTTAGCGCTGAGGCAGATGCATGTGTGGCTACAGTTGGAGGGGTGGGTGAGAGAGTCAGTGCAAATTACGTAGCTGATTTAATGTCCTCGAGAAGCAGCCTGCACAGTTAACAGGGACGGGAGACTCGTACTTGGAAACGAGAGCCCACAGTGCTCACGGAGGAGCGCGCAGCAGACGTACCTACCGGCGTGATGGGCTTTCCTACGGCAGTTTATTTCACAGTCGCTAAGACTTCCTCCCCAACCTGCCGGGATGGGCCATCGCCAGGGTCCTGTTACAGCAGCTGAAGAGTCTTTAGGGTACCTGTGAAGTGCCCACCACCTTGGTTTCTAAATGCAGAAGGGTTTGGTTAAGGGACATACGGTACTGGAGACACACAGGGTAACCTCTGGCTGAGACACGAGTCAGAACAAATCGGAAAGGGAAGGGAAGCTGTACATTCACAAAGCGTACACTCCACACTGCTCCACGAACCAGCCCGAAGTCTGCTGGCCCTCCCATGACAGCTCTGCACCACTCGACCGCTAAACTCTGCGGGAGGATGCAAAATGGCTCCAAACACAATGCAAAAAACACACTCCTCACTTTACACAAAGTCACAGACAAGATAGGGAGTCTGGGGGAAGACGGACACATGGACAGATACACAGACAGCAAGAACAGAGTGTTTAAAAAAAAAAAAAAGTTAACCCCGGTGGCCGGAGCAGAGATGAAACCTCACCTTACAGAGCAGGCGCAAGGTTTGAGTAGAAACAGTTCCAGTGTAAATCGAGCTGTGTGCATTTGGTTTTTTTTCTTTTTTTGCAGTGATTTCTTTACAAACAAACAGGTCAAGAGGTAATAATTATAGATTGTTTTTCTTCTCTTATAAAGAATTAACAATATTAAAAAAAGTTAAAATCCAGACCCTCCCATAAAATAATAATAATAAAAAAAAAAATAATCAAAACCACTCCAGTTAAAAGTTATGGCTTCAGAGTTATATACCGTAGATACTGACCTAACCACCAAACGAACGGCACTTCCCAGACTGCCATTAATGCTGCAATCAGCACGACAGACTCAGCCCTCAGCTACTTCCATTTTTGCTAGGCCCAGCTGTAGACAACAGTCAAAGCAACTCTACTTCACCCTGATTCGGCATTTAATCAAAAGAAAATTCATGCAGTTCCCCCCACCCCACAAGTTATACACAGCCACTTCCAGATTATGAGATATTTATATATGTATATTAAAAAGATGGACATCGATTTCCAAACCCACACCCCGCTGTCAGATCCTGCCAGGCGCCGAGTGCCTCTCGGGAGGTGCAGGGCACACCCAGGCACCCGGCTCCCTGCAGCTCAGGCCCCACGCTGCTGAGCGTGCCTGTGAGGGTGCCTGGATGGTGGACTCAGGAACTGGCATTCCTATGAGAACGGTCTCCTGCATTTCCCCATGGCCTGGTCTCCTTCCAGCCTGGCGCAGTGCCTGCTCTATCTCTGACATGCATCTCAGCTCCGTGGCATCTCCCCCCGCCCCGGGTCTCTCTTTCCACTCTACCAAGAATTACAAATCCCAGGGGCTCAAGACAAAAAACCTGGATTCCAGGAGTGAAGTCAGTTCCTCATGTGTTTTGTCTTAAAAAAGGGAGGGGGTGGCAGTGAGGCAACCTGATGGGAAGTTCCTGCAGCCGGCATATGGACAGCAAGGCCACAGCACCCATCGGAGAGCTAAGGATCTTGTTTTAAGCAGCCTGTCCAAGCTAGACAATGCTCACTATTCAACAAGGAGAGCACCAGCGCGCACAGCTCAAAAAAAGGACACTCTAGATTTGCACATGCACAGAAAGCACGAACAGAGATGAGCCACCCTACGGGCAGACACTGCACGTCTACGGAAGGAGATGAACAGGCACAGGGGACACGCGCACCTTGCGCATGCATACACCATTGCGCACACTGACAGCCAGTCAGATTTCTGTTTTTGACTTAGAATTTTTCAAGCTTAAGAAAAAGGAGGGAAAAGGTTTCATGAAGCTGATAAACTGTTCAGGCTCAGCCTCTCAGAAGGGAGCACCATTTGTTTTGCAAATGCTTTTTCTGCATTAACGTGCCAGTCCCTGGAAAAATCCTCGGAGTACGGCAAGAAAACCTTCCCTTTCCCTTCCCACTCCCAGCACCTAGCACCCTGGCCTCAAACACTGCCAACGGGTGCACTGCGTGCACTGAACTTTACAGGGATTTCCATTAAAGAAACAAGAGTTACAATCATGGCTGAGATCCCTCAGGTTAAGTCCCTCTCAAGTCTTCACGCTGTCAGGAGGTGATCATAAAAGGTTTCTGATTGTTTCATACCCAAGCAGGGAAGAGAGCAATTCAATAGGCTCTGTCACCCCACCTAGCAGCCTGTAGGTCACGCTGTCTGGTTGGTAGCAGTAGATTGGGCAGAAACACGAGGTAGGCCTCCATCACACGTCTACTCTAGCATG